TTAAAAAGTATCAAAATAATATACATATATACAAGTACCTAATTATATAGTTATAAATAATAATTTATAATAATGTACAGATATTAATGATTTTAAGAAGAGACAACAATAGGGGTGAATATTATTGAGAAAAGAGAAATATAATGTATAATATTCCTAGTATCCAATTGATGTTTTTAAAATTATTACTAATATTTAATTACAATTTAATGTTATATATTTGACTATACTCATTCAGTGAAATGAGATTTAAATTGCATCGATAACTGTGGTGGCAGTGCAAATTATTCAAGTGATTCTGTTGTGTGTCGACAAAAATTATATTTTACAATATAATTTTCGTATTACTTCCTGTGTGCTTAAAGTATTACGAGTATAACGATTACTTCTAATAATGTAACGTATTTATAACCTGAATCTGATTATAATAATTTAAAAATTATTACTAAAGTAAAATTAATAAAATCTTATAGCAGTCGATGGGAACTTGCAGATAAAAAAATACATAAAAATTGAATTATTTTGTTGGATTTCATAATTGATTTAGGTATGATAGGACCCACAGTAATTAATATAATAACGTAAATTTGTTTTAAATAGTAAGACCCATATTATATTATGTTATTCGTTAAACCTATCAATAGATATTATAATTCATTTTATGTGAAAAATGTAACTTATTTTCAACTAAATGGAGTTACTTTTTTTTTCTAATTAATTTGAAACTTTTACAAATACACTAATAAGAAAAGTTACTTTTAACTTTTGTCTTATCATATCATTTTTCTATATAAACTCAATGTAAGGAGTTAAAAAAATTAGTTATTTTGCCCAGCTTTGCAACAATTTTTAATAAACGTCAAAAAAAAACATAACAAAATTACCAATAGAAATAAAAAAAATTCAAGTCAACAGTTTCCGATTATATCAGATTCAAAATATCTGCTCATCAACTAAAAGTGTCTATTAGAAGAAATGTGCAAAATGTAGTATATAATAAAAAAAACGTTAGAACAGAGTGGATGTGGACAAGATGTGATATTCTCCTTTCTATAACAAAATATAGGAATTGTTCTTCCGTGAAGGTATTTAAAAAGTGAAGCACGGACGGTGAGAAATAATAAAAATTAATATTTCGTTTGTAACTGGTGTACTAGATAAAGAAAAAACAAGATTCGATTGTGTAGACACGTAGTGAGTGAATGTGATAGGCAATCGAACGAGAATAGGGGTCAGGATTATCAGTACGCATACAACAGATAACAAATTAAGTGCTTATATGATATCATGAGTGCGTTCAATTGATTATTTTAAACAAATTTAATTAATCTATGACCTTTATTTCATAATACATTAAAAATCATGGAAAAACTAGTAACCGAGTTCTTGTATTTTTATGTTAACACTATTGTTATTATATATTTGAATGTTTTAAAAAATATTTTCAGCAAAGACTAATAACAATACATAATAATGGTTATATTATATATTATATAATATTATTTATTATTATATAATATTTTATAATTATATATTATATTTTATAACATTATTATATAATATATAACATACAGGGGCGTATTTAGGGGGGAATGGGTTTTAGAACACCCTCCTTCGACCATATTCTATGGTATTTCATTAAATTGCAAACTTACTTACAGTATAATTAGAATAAACGTTGTATACAACATGTGGATTTTACATACACTGTCTTAATATAATTATTTTCATTATTTTCATTAGTATAATAATTCATATAAATATATGGGATTTATTCATGTAATATAAAGGGGGAAGAGCCTTCCACTTATCATAAGTCTATTAAATTTAAAAACACCCTCGTTAAATGAAGCCTGGATACGCCACTGATAACATATATAACGAAATACCTTCTTCTATAATATAAAATTAATAATAACGTTTTTGCATCCTAGAAAATTTATTACAATATACAAATATATCACCTACATATATAACATGCATAAACTAAACAGTTATCACAACTCACGTAGGTATACGAAATACCACAGAGAACCGGTTCCACGTCAAAATATCTTCTGAAAAAATATCTCCGGTAATAATATCTCTGGAATAAATAATTTTAAGAGAAAACAATAAATATTTTGAATGTTGATATTATACAACAGCATATTAATAAAATATAATATAATAAGTATTAATAATATAAACCGAATAAGAATATTTCTAAGAGAAATTTAGAAATGTATTATGTTTTTAATTATAACTCCTCGAGGTTGTTTCGTGAAGGAAAATTATCGTTTATCTATATCGGTTTGCCGATTAAGACAAACTGAATTTAACAACATCAATAACATTTTAAAACAGTATGAAGCGTGAGAAAATTTTAAATTTATAATAAATAATAATACGTGTTACTTAATTAATGCATAATGTGAGATAATTTAATTTTACATTTATAATAATAATAATAATTATAATAATCAAATCTGAAATATTTTTTGCGGAAATATTTTTAACGGAGATATTTTTACCGTAGATATTTTGACGGGACACCCGGAGAACCCCTGAAACGAAATAAAACTCTACTACCTAACAAATATATAGTGGAACGCAATTCGTGTATACCTTTTTTGTGGGACGCAACTAAGGGGCGTTGTCCTAAAAAGATTGAGAACCACTGCACTAAATGCAATCAAAATGACGGTGTGATAATTTTGTGTAGCTTACCGGTAAATTTAGTTGAATTTGGTTTCCTTGAAATTAATATCATTAAATTGTACTTATGTATAAATAATACACCTTTTTTTTTTATGCTGGGTCTATAGGTCATCGGCAGATAACACTTTTTTTCCTCGTGTCAGGCACAGTTATTATGTAGGTACAATCTTTAAACATACAATTTATTTTACTTTTAATTTACTAACGAAGTGTACGTATAAACTAAAACTGAAGGTAACATTAATGACTTCATTACCCAATTACGTAATATTTTTGATAATGGAAACTCTGATAAAGGTTATTCGTTCATCATGAAAACATCTAAAAATGAAAGAAATGTGACTTAAAATTTTCATTTTTAGGATGTTTAAAACATCGATTGTACAGTGGGTGTATAAAGACGAATATTTGAAGTTTGGTTTTACGGATAATATAGATCGTTCGGGTTTAGTGCGTCTTCAACGTTTGTACTGTTTGAAAGTTCTATTAAACAAATTTATCAAAGTGAATAAACTCAAAAGACATCTTAACACTTTTCATTCTCCTATCATGTCTTTGCGAATAAAAATAAATATTTATCTAACAAAAAAAAACTACTAATGGATTGGAAAATCTAATTATGATACGTAAATTGCAAAGTTGGCTTTTAAGTAAGCCTTTTAAGTGATATTTTTGAACCGTTAAATTAGGAACTAACAGTGAAATATTTTTTTTAATCAAACTCAACTCATCCACTGACAAGATTTTACTTACTTTGACCTTGCAACTTTTGTAACTTTTATACTCACTATTGTTACATGTTAAATTTTTTTTTTTGTTGCAATAAACCCAAGCCTGAGCATTAACGAGTTAATAAGTTAAAGTTAAGTTAAATTAACTTATAAACTTAACTCATTTCCTTACAAGTTAACTTGAAATTAACGTTTTATTTTTTTATTTATCCCAATTAAGTTAATTTTGATTTTCAAGATCAGAAAAATATTTTTATGAAATTCATATAAATTAGAGCTTATATACATTTTTAAAGTAAATTTTTAGTTGGTTATGATTGGGATCTCTAAATACAATATTCTATATGTTGTATTTAATATAGTTATTAAGAATATAAAGATAAAAAAAATTAACATAGATTTTAAAATAAAAACAAATTATGATTGTCTGTATGTGGTATCTATTGATACAATATATTTATACAGAAGTATTTGCATTTGTGTATGAAATAACAGTGTTTTAATACACGCTAGTAAAATATGTTAGTTGTCTAGTATAATTTTAAAAATTATATAAATATACCTATGCGAGTAAAGAACATAAAAGTGAATCATTTTAAATGGAAGTGATAAATCTGTTATTAGCGGACCCAACGTTCATGTCGTAATTAGGAATAAAATGTTTTAAACACAATAAAATTTTAAACAAATTAATGATATTATTAAAATGAAATACCTACTAATAAAATAACCATTAAAAGTATATTTTCAGTATATACATTCACGGACCCTAGTTAAAGCTGTAAATACAATTGTTTTTCCCCATCAGATAATCTTACCTGTCTAAAACGTCTCGTCTAAATTTTAGATTGTGTTGTCTGCGTTCTTTAATAATGTATTTAGATACTTCGGATAACCTGGTATCTAACGATACAGCTACCCTAAGTTAATAAAAGCAAATAAATTCACCCTTCGTATAGGTTGTTAAATGTAGAAAGACTGTTTATTTGATTCCTATACAAATATTTTCACTCCCAAATGGGTCTTTTATCTCTTTTGACCCGACAAGATTACGTATATCCCATAAAAACGATCGTACTAGCACGTCTGTACGGAAAATAACCAACCATTAAAACTGTATTTTTCTTACTCTACAAATTGAAATTACATTTCTCGTATTAATGGAAATAAAATTGAAATGAAAAATGATAAAACTGTTTTAATTAATTTAATTTCACATAAAAATTTAAAGTATTACATTTCAACAATTTACCATAAAATAACTAGTAAATACAAAATGTTTAAACATACATTGTTTTTAAATATATATTATAACTAAATCATAAATATACATAGATTTATATAGTTTAATTTAAAATCGATTAAATAGTGTAACTATGATAAATAAACCACTTGTAGGTATTGGCTATAATAAAAAAAAATTAATAAACAATAGGCATTAGAAATCTTATCCCTAAACAACAAATATTGTTTACAGCTCAAAATAATTAATTTCTAATTTCAGTTTTAAAAAACCAGCAATACATTTATAGTTAACTACAAACCAAACAAAACACTTTGAACACGAAAATGGACAAGACTTTCGAAACCGGTAAAAGAGAACTAACGGTATCAGATGAAGTGACAAAACACTTTTTCTTATATATTATTCATTTAAAACGAGCAATGGATAAAATTGATCAAAATGTGAACAAGAAATTAGTTGAGGTAAGTACAAATATTTGGTTTAGCAGTTAAAGATGATATGCACAGAGTATAGCTAGATTAATGCACATACTTAAGTAATCAATTGAAGACAAATGTATTAAAATTATAAATTATAAATTAGAGTTCAAACCTAAACAACAAAAGCATATATACAAAAAAAAAATGATTCATGATTTCACAGATTTGGATTAATAAGCTATTGGAAGTTCCTCACCCGAGCATTTCTCTAGCAATGAAACGTAATATGTACTTAGCACAATTAGTGTTGAACTTGTATGATGGTAATCTAAAAGCACCGTTTAAAAATATGCCACCTAACAAACCGTTGGAAACATTCGATGAATTTCCATCATACGGAGGACAGGATAGCCAACCAGAAGAAATTGTAGAACCGAAAATAGTAAATAAAGAACTACCATTAGACGAACTAAATTACGTTTCATCAGATCAACGTACGTATGTGGCCATTCAAAGTTTATGCAATGGAGCCACATTATTTGGATACGTAGCCGTTACTATTGGACATGCGGGTGCTGGTTCATTATGGATGAATTCTAGAGGAGATACTATGTATGTTGTGAAAAGCCAATGTATACAACACCGGTCAAATATGGCCATTCTCCCATTATATTTTATCAGTAGTAGACAGTGCTTGACTTGAGGAGGGACGCAGGGGGACGGAATAACCCAAATAATTTTCAGAAAATTTAGCGTCCACCTGCTATTGTTACGTTATAATTAAAATGCTTAACAATTCTTAGGGACGCTATTTTCTTTAAACTAAACAGAATCCCCTTTCTTTTATTTTACTAAGTCAAGCACTGGTAGTAGATAATACATTATCATTATTTCGTTTTGTCTAGTAATTAAAATGCGAATCTCAATTAAATACTTAATTATAATTTTAAATGTTATCAATCAGCCATCTAGAAATATGTGTTTAAAATGAATATGTATTCCGTTTGGCGATTTAACATCGGTATTTAAATATTTTTAGTAAAACACCAACGCCTAAGTTTAAAGATTTAACTGTAAATACTACGGTCTCTCAACAAATGAGTTTCGATACAGATGATCAAACAAATAACGGATTAAAAAGTTTAGCGAATGAAGTATGGAAAGTACTATCTCGGCGATATCCACTGAAAATTAGACAACGCGCTGGAGATTTGTATCGCATGCTGCACAGCGCTATCGAACAAGAAATGCTTTCGGATACAACTGACTCTTATTCAAGTCATTGCACCGATCCGTACGTGGATAAATTAATCGATTTCCTGATAGAGGACTTAATGGCTTTGGGCATACGTGATCCAAAGGCATACCGTCGGCAAAATCTATTATCAGCGTTAAAAAAACGAACGAAATCCATTATTATTGAAGTAAGATTTAAAAATATAAACTTTAATTTACTACGTTCAATATAATGCGAACGTAAAGGATATATTGATGATTATAAAAATAATACTTGTGTAAATTCCACTTAAATTCAAATGAAGTAATGTATAGAAATCACATCATTATTTATATCCCTGTGTCGATCTATACAACTTTATAATATTAATATTAATAATTTTACCTGTTATGTAGGGATCCCATACGTCCCGCAATATACGGAACTGTTCCGTGTTTGAATGAAGTGTCCCGGTGTCCCGACACAAATTTAAAAATAACACTTTTATCCCGTATTTCGGATAATCCGTTTCGTATGTACTTTATTTTAATAATTACATTTTTTCATATCATTTAGCTTTTTAAATTTTAAATTATTCAAAAACTATAATATATGTATAAAACAAATAATAATTAATAATATTAAATTATAAAAAAAAATCTGAAAAACAAATAAAACTATCTCTAACGATTTCTTTACTATAGGAAAGTCACATAATTATTTGTTTTTAATTCAAATTTTTTATTGTTTCAAGTATCAAATATTATGAGTAACTGTGAAGAAAATAAAATTTTACACGGAGACCAAATTTAATTTTAGCTAACAAATATTTACAAAGAATTTTTATAACAAACATCATATATTTAATTTTGTAATATGATAATTGCTAACATAAGTTCCCTCACCCCTCCCTAAATTAATACCAATGTAAATTACAAGTATATGTATGATTTAAAATGTGCCGTATTTTTAAAAAATAAATCTGAGATCCCTACTGTTGTGTAGTTTCTTTTAAATCGGGTACATATCTATGTGATTATCGTTTTTTTTTTTTGATAGATCGAAAAAAGACAAGGTGTTTTCGAAGAATTAAAAAAATCAGCACAGATCCCTATAATGCAACTATATTTACGTCCATCGTCCAAGTGTCCTAGTTTTATATCTCTTATGACATTAAAAGAAGCTCTTGAAGGAACAATGAATAGGAAAATTATGGATTTGTTATTAGTGCAATACCCTTCATGCGTGATAAACCAGTAAGTAGAAAACTGTCGGAACAATTTTTGTTCACATTGAAAAACGTAAATATTTTTATATTTTTATTTTGAATGAAATGTAAAAATTAAAACGCAAAAATGAGTTATTATTGATTTATTAGAAAAAATAATACTAATTCTACCGTTTCTAATATGCATTGTTCACAACAATTTTTAAATTCCTTCGTTAATTTAATTTAAGATTTAAGCAATTGATTATTGACGAAAAAGTACGTACGATGCATATGGCGAAAGTACGATTAGACAATATAACGGGCGAGATGTTCAACGATTTGAAAAAATCGATATCTCAAGGATTGCGTGAATACCAATCGGCCCGTATAGAATGGGCAAGAGCTTGGCGTGTAATCAAGGAATACAATGAAGTATCAAATCTAGTGTCCAATTTAACAGTAGCTTCAAACGACGAGAATAACGATGACAAATTTGTTGAAATCATAGAAATTGAAATTGAACTAGCGCATAAACAATTGGAGGTAAAAACTATATTCATACATTTATTCTATTTATATAAATATAAAACGTTTATAAAATGTGCATTTTCGATTCTACTTGCTTCATAAAACCCTTGGCGCCATTTAGAGAAGCACGTTTCAAAGGTTAAAAAATGGAAAATTGATAACACTATTACAGTCCAAATTCTAGACATAAATTTAAAATTGTGAATTTATTATCTTTGTGACGTTAAATTTGAAAACGATCGTATTTTACAAATATAATTATACTCCAACGTAAACTTTTATTTATTTATTTCTATATATAAACTACTTGTTTATTTATTTATTGACGAAAGACATCGATGATTTCAACAAAAATTAATATTATACTTTTTGATTAATGGATATTAATACATGGTCATTATTTTTTTCTCGTGCATATTTTGCACACTTTTTTAAGTATGCAATATTAATTTAAAAATATTATTTTTTAATGATCGTAAAAACTATAGTCGAAGAAATCGTTACTAATATTTTTTATATAAAATAAATATGGTATTGTTATATGACCATATGAACTATTCAATATATAATTATTTTTTATTTTACAATATTACTTTAGAATGCTAAAATAAAAACTGAAAAGATGACAAAGGAAATTGAGATGCTTCACAGAAAGATACACGAAACGAGTGAGAAGTACGAGGTCCAAAAAGTGTATGCAAAACAGCAAGAAAACAAATTAAAAACCGAAATTGTTAACGAACAATTGGCTATACAGCAAAGATCAGCAACTCTTAATCACTTAAAATCAATGATATAAACTGTATTTTTAACAAATAGCAATCGTTTCAATAGAAAACTAGTCGCCAATAACGATAAACATTGTTAAACTATTAAAAAATTCAATGAATTACCTGCCTGAACTCATATGATGAATGTTTTGTTGGAAATTAAGATGATGCCATATTCGCATTTACTGTTTCCAACTTTAAAAGTTGGAAAAAAACTTCTTCGACATAGAAAATTTGTTTTCAGTAGATTACATTTTGTGTACTTTACTATAATATAATACTAAAAATACCGATTATTAAACTTAAAAGGAAAGATATAATCTATTTCAATTGGTTGGTTTATAACGATATTTTAATTTTTAAGCGATTTATAAGTAAGTGAAATATTATTATTTGAAAAATCTCAATCCGCTTAAAAAAAAGTGTAATTAAATGCCGACCATTTGAACATAGATAATATCCTTTCCATTTTGTTTAATACTAGGGCAGTTTAATATAATATTAAAATTTGAACTACTGAACGCAAATTTGCTTAGTTGAACTTTTATAAGTCAGAGACAACACTTATGAGTACAAGGTCCTTTTATCATTCTCATGTGTTGTCTCCGTCTGACAAATGTACGACATAGCAAATATACATTCAGTAGTTCAATTGCAGTGATGTTAGCTTTCTTATTAGATTGAACTGAACTATAATCAAATTTTAAGGGAAAAACATTATTTGTGTTTTGTTGTTTGAATTTTTTTTTGGTATTTTAAACGAGTTATGAGTATGTAAAATATTAAGATAACAGAAAATTCATAATTCGATTTAAAATTGAAATTTCGGAAAAAACCTACCAATAAAACATACATAATGTTCTTTTTTTTAAGTATTATTATAAATCAGTTTACTCTAATATTGAATATAACACCACTACATTTGAACTACTGAACGCAAATTAGCCATTGTTGTACATGTGTCAAACGAGGGCAATGCATGCGGGTGTAAGTCAGCTCTTTTAATAGGAAATATAACAAAGTTTGTTGTATCTTTAATAGTACATATAAAATGTACTAGGATATATAATTGTACATTGTAATACATTTCCTAGGATGCAAAAACTATTATATTTTATATTATAAAAGGAAGTATTCTGTTATATATAAGTTACCTATATAATATAACCAGGGCTCAGAAGTTCTAGCAAATGTATATTTTTCTTGGTTCATCCTAGAACATCAAAAGTAAGATGCAAATATATTTCAAACTACTTGGATATCATACACAAAATTTAATTTTGCTATTTTTTGCATATTTACAGGTTTTATTTTGCTAATTTAGGGTTTATAGTGCTATTTCTGGATAAAATTTTACGTAATACAGAAAATAATCACATTTTGCTGATGATAATGATTTAATTAGTTATAGTTTTACAAATATTTAAAGTATTGGAAATAAATAGACATCATCAATTATAATTTTATTTTTTCATCGAAAATTCGATGTACTAATAGTTAATGACTAAATAAAATCATTCAATTATAAGTACACTTTTACAAATATATTTAATTAATTTAACATTTTTGTTAAGTTTATAATTCAATCAGTCCAAACGTCTATGAGCCCAAACATTTGTAAAACGACATTTAATTTTTTTTCTAATAAATTTATAATTTTTCAACATAAATACATATTTTTTGATTTTTCGTCCTATTTATATTGCATATTTTAGAGTTTTTAAGTACATATTTCAGAGCTAAAAAATAACATTTTTAGTGCTTTAATATCCGAGCCCTGAATATAACCATTATTATGTATTGTTATTAGTCTTTGCTGAAAATATTTTTTTAATACAGAGATTTTTTAAAACATTCAAATATATAATAACAATAGTGTTAACATAAAAATACAAGAACTCGGTTACTAGTTTTTCCATGATTTTTAATGTGTTATGAAATAAAGGTCATAGATTAATTAAATTTGTTTAAAATAATCAATTAAATGCACTCATATGATATCATATAAGCACTTAATTTGTTATCTGTTGTATGCGTACTGATAATCCTGACCCCTATTCTCGTTCGATTGCGTATCACTTGTACTGATTACGCGTCTTCACAATCGAATCCTGTTTTTTCTTTATCTAGTATACCACGTTACAAACGAAATATTAATATTTCATTATTTCTAACCGTTCGCGCTTCACTTGTGAAATACGTTCAAAGTATAACCAAATTATTGAATACTGTCGATAAGTACCACGGCTATCGCAGTGTTCAGTACCGATCTGAAACACAATCAATAACACTGATCGTACGTGTGAAAATACAACGGTAATTGTAATTATCATAATATTAGTAAGAAATCGACAGTTGAACCTAAAAAATATATGTTAAAATAAAAATATCATTAAATAATTCCATCCGGTGATATTGCGGTTCGTGATAACGACCCAGATGCGAGGTCGTGACCACAGATAAATAAACTAATCAGAAAGATCTATTCTCTTTAAGTTGTGCACAAAATTTGTTCAACAAAATGTATGAAGTCCGGCCGCCATATGCCAATAATTCAAACAAATACTCAAACGCTGCGATAAGAATATATGATAAAAATTATTGTTGATCAAGTCCGTTTACATTGTACGTTTAATATTGGACATTAGTACCGTAGACGTGCACAGGAGGTGTTCAGCTGACCATACTTTGAACGTTTATTTCTAAAGACATTAGAAATAAATAATATTCGACATATTCGGTTAAATGTAAAAACTATATGGTTTTGTATTACGCAATAATCACGTAAACAACAAAAGTTTTTACAAAACATCAATAGCGCATGTTTATCACTGGAATTGTAAAAGTAACAATAACGTTAGCAGATGTAAAAAAAAAAAAAAATGGCAGTTACCGATACGATGACGCAATCCGATCCGGAGTGGGTGAGGTGCGTGGGTCCGTGTGCGGGCGGGATTTTCGAGCTGGTCGCCTGGTTCGCAATAACGTTGTCCCGAAACGGCTGCACTGCGTGCGCTCAAGGTCTGTGGACGGGGTCGCCCGGCGGCACGAGGGTGCGGACAACGGAACGGTAACGATGAAAGCGTTCGCTTGGGAAAAAAAAATGAAACGAATGTCGGCCGTCGACCACGGTGAATGACGCGAAGGGGGCGCGTGATGACGAGATGTTGACGCACACTCGTTCCGACGACGAACGAGACGGGTCGACCAACACCGGTGCGACAGCGTTTCAATACCGATGCGACGGCGAGTGGTGAAGGGATTCTAGCTCGTACGTGGCAACGAGGAAACCGTTGGGCGGTCGGCGGGTGGCGCGCGCTCGTTTCCAATCCCCCTGGCGCAGCGTTAGGGTGACCCTCGGCTCACCGTACGCGAAATATTCATCATTTCGTGATCGGAAATATAACAAAACATTTTTACGCGTACGAAACGTGTATTATTTTACTTATTTGTATTTTTGTTGCTTTTTAAAAAAAAACATCAATCACCTGAACAGGCTATCGCGGTCAACTGAGATTAAAATGCGTGTACAATGCGTACAGATAACCCGTAATTTTACATCGATACGATATTAGCGATAAACGGTCGGTGATAAATATTTATGAATCACGATGAAACGGAAAATGTTTTTTAAAGTACATAAAACTGGTTATCACGACGTTAACCACGATCTATTAACCGTAGGATCAAATATGCGTTAAAAAAAACCCTTAATATGCATAAATATATGCACTAAAATGTTAAAAAATTTTAAATTGTTATATTATGAAACAAATTTTGTGTTCACTTAGCATATCGTATTATCAACCAGAATAAATATGCAAATGCATACAAATCCGCGTTCTTAATAACTTATTAACATTGCGATCAAATGTAGGGACCAGTTTTTGGAAGCGAGTATGATTTTCGATATTTTTCGATTTCAATGCTAAGCGCATCTTTTGGTGCGCAACGTAATTTCGCTGATCGTATAATAAATTATATTATAATAAATACATAATGAACATTTTTCCACTTTTGTTTTTTTTTTTTTTTTTTTTTGTAGTGAACATACTAAATTATATTTAGAATATTTTTATTTATAATAATTATAAATATTTATAAGTGCGAAAATCAAATATTTTACTCTGAGCCTGTTCTGTTAAATAAAATAATGGTGATATTTGTTGATTGGTATGTCAGTATAGCAATATTAATATTTTTTTTTAAAAACCCGGCTAACACTGAAAATCAATATGTTTTATGAATAATTCAGTTTGTATAATTTTTCCCCGGTGTTTCTTTTATAATAATCATCACAAATTAGAGTCATAACCAAAATAAAAACTAACAACCGTGAATAATACATTAAATATTTATTCTAAAGTAATAGTTGTTTTGCGTTATAACACATAATTTCAATCGTTCGTTTATTAGTATATGTAACTGACAGATTACCTACTACTAGCTGGCAACTTTGGAGTTTACATGTATATTGATGTTATGTCATTTACATCAAACTTTTAAATTGTACATATTAATTGAGTTTTAAACAATCTTTGGTTACTGCATAATTTATAATAGAGCTTTTAATACACGTGTTGTGTGAAATACGTATTTATACAAAATATATATTTGTTTTTATATAATGGTAACATTAGTCATTTTATGTTAATTACTTGAAATTTTAGTAAAATATTATTTGTACAGAATTGAGGTAAGGTTGTGAGTTTTTACTTTGGATCTGACCCGTGACACTTATAGATAAATACTAAATATAAATACTAAATACTAATTAATACTACACCTGTATTAAGAGCTTAGTTTATAATGTTAACGTAATAATTATGTTAATTATTAACTATATTGTATAACAAAAATTGTTTCCAAATTTATATAATTGGGTTTCACCACAAGTCAATATTATTAATCAGTTACCAATATTTTTGATGGAGCAGAAAAAAGAACAAGTGTTAATTATAATCAAGTTTTAACGATAACAGCATTTTAAGAAGTTAGAATAAAATATAAATGTTATATATCAATATGG